ATGATTAAATATATTAGAATGTATGATAAAGTTCACATTATTTACAATACTTGCATCAAACTGTGAATTGTGAATTCATATTTATGTAAAACAGACATTCTCATTTGATTCAGACTCTAACAGTCTTTGCACATGATAAAGTTCTCTTTGTATTTGAAATAATATTGAATCATCAATAATCAAATAATCAAAATGTGTATTTTGTTTGTATTTAAAAAATGTAAATATCAGAGCAGGGTTGTAATTCTGAATATATTTATAAAATACTTTATATCAGATGTATTGCCATTAAACAATTTATATAACTTTAATGAAGATTCTCTGACAGATGACAGTCTTACAGCACCTCTTACACGATATGTAAAAAAGATTGAAAGAGTCTTTAACAAATCATATACACATTCATCAATACTTAACTTTGCAGACAGAGCAGTAGACATTCATTCAATCAAAATTGAATGATTGACAGCAATAAATGTAGAAGTGAAAGCTGCAGAGAACAGATTAACAATTGTAAATGATTAATAAAAAATTAACAACTGATTTAAAAATAATTGAGCTGATTTAAATATTAAGATCATTGAAAGTCAGCTGATTCAGTAAATTCATATATATATAATCAGTAAACTCATCTGCTGCAGGAACTGCAGCAGCAGCTGTCAAATAACAATGTTTAATATCATAATTAAAAGCTCAGCAATCAATGCAGTTCTTAAAAATATGAATAATAATATGAAATAAATAAAACAGATAATTTTCACAGTACATATTATAATGTGATAATTTAACTCATTGTGAATTGAGCACAGAAGCAGCTACATCCCTCAATAATAAACAAGAGGTTTGAATTGAATGTATCTTACATATACAATACTGAGTTTGACAGCATGTAGAGTATGTATGAAATAATGCATTGAATTGAAACTGTTCAAATGCATTGAGAGAATGAGAATCCACACACACTGAGCAAAGACATATGAGTATATTAATGAATATATATAGATTGTAATGAATGTAGAGAAGAGTATAAAGAATGTAAATACAGTAAAAAACATCTGTAAAGAAAATAATGAAGATTAATATCAGAGCTGTACAGGCCGCAAAGCCAGCCATTCAATCCATTCATGAATTTGATGGGGTGCACGTGATATCATGTGAGGTCACGTTACAGTATTTTTTTCACGGAAAAAGTTGGTTTTTCTATAATATAAAGAGAGATTATCTATTATCTTTCATTATTCATTCACTCTTCACATTGTCATCACCTCTCATAATTTCTAATCATTTAATCTTTAAGAGATGATTTATTGAATAATAGTCATGATCTTTACTCACAGCATCTGCTGTACTCATGCCACTACTGAATCAGAAGCAATAAACATCAATAAAAACAATTGTAAAACACACATCTCTGTCACTGAAAGTGCACAACAAGCATCATTTTTTTTTATAAAATCAGATTTGAAATATAATTCAGAAGGGGACATCTTCTCTGAAGATTTAAATGCAATTAAAATTAAGAAAATAGCTGTAATTAGATGAATTAAAAAGTTACAGACTGAGAAGAAATTGTGAGAATTTCAACATTAATGCAATACTTTATTATAAAAATTGAACGAAACAATTTCAATCATTCAAAATAACTCAAAGCACATCTGAATCATGATAGAGATGCAATTAGTGTAAATTATAATCATAAAGACATTATAAACATCTTTAAATCATCAGAATCTATGTTATAAATGTTTAACATCTTAATAAAAAGCACTGTGATTACTGTTAGTGGAAGATGTAGTTGGGTATCATTTTGACAATTAAAATTTTAAAATCTTAGTATGAGCAATCACTCTTCTCAGAGAGATGTGAAAAAGTTTTGAAATTAAAATATAAAAGAATTTGTAAACTTTGTTACAGCTGCTATTGCTTTTCATATCAGTGATCTTAATTACTACAACAAACACAACTATCAGAAGATCATTAAAGCTGTCACTTATTTCAATGTTGAAATGCAACAATATTGATATCAATATATATATGATATGTGAATTTTGCCACCATGGGAAGAATTTGTTAGCTGAATGCAATGTCAAGTCATTGATTCAGATAAAAGTTTTTGAGATGAAGATAAATAGTACTGAAAAACAAAGTAATAAAAAAATCAAATAATTCAACAATTTTATGAGGGGTGATAACAGTGTGAAGAGTAAATAGTAGCAGATAGTATATAGCGTAGTGGAAGATAATAGTAATAATAATTATAATAATAGTGTAGTTGTAACTAATTGCTAAGAAGGAAAAGAAAGAGAAAGAAGATGTGCAAAATACATACATTCATATATATATATATATAGAAATAGCAATAGCGAGAGTATAATGGAAAGAGGTAAGAATAGACAAATATATAAACAAAGATAATATAATAATAAGGAAATAATAAATGTGTGCATTACAATTATTCATAATGCTCATTCAATAATTAACTCCTCTTTAAGTAAAGAGGTTGACTTCATCATATAATGTACAGCTGTCATCTGCAAGGTTCATGAAGAATCTTATCACAGATTTGATAGTTCTCATCATCAATGTGAATGTTGAACATGCCATTTTTGCCTGTACACAGATTTTGTAAAATAATAAAGCTCTGCTATTCTTGATTCTCATTTTTAAATGTGAATCTGCTGCTAATTTAGCAATATTCACAAAGTTGAGATGGTCAAGCTTTTGATGTCATTGCAACATTGTATGTTCAATAATTTTGATATTTTTTTTGAATAATATCAGCAGAGAATCCTCTTTTCCCTCTGCAGGCTGTAGAATATTCACAGATTCAAATTCATCATTAAATATCACAAATCAAATCAAATCTCTAATTATTGATGATTTTTCAAGAATATAGATGTTGTTATCACTTAAATCGACAGTGAAATTAAACATTTTATCAAAAAAGATTAACAAGATTGAATAAGTGTTTCTGTAGATTAGTTGCTTATATATATAACTTTGATATACAAGCTTTTCAAAATTTATAAAATTAATTTTCAATTTGAAAATGTAGTGAATGTTCTGTAGCAGCAGATTTACTCTTTTTACTGATATATTTACTTTCTTTATAGCTGTTGCAGAAGTTGTTGATTTATTAATCATCTTCAATATGATATTAATCTTCTGCAGCATTATCGATATGAGATCTTTGCAAGGTGTAATATAATGTAATGCACTCGTTTATTATTTCCTTATTATTATATTATTTTTGTTTATATCTTCGTCTATTCTTACCTCTTTCCATTATACTCTCGCTACCACTATTTCTATATGTATATATATATGGATGCATGTATTTCGCACATCTTCTTTCTCTTTCTTTTCCTCTTCAGCGATTAACTATAACTACAACTACAACTTCAACTATACTACTACTATAATTATTACTATCTTCCACTACACTATATACTATCTTCTACTATTCACTCTTCACACTGTCATCACCCCTCACATAAAATGAGATTTAATCTGCAGAGTGATTGCAGATCATATATAATTGTATATAGTTGAGATTCCTTGAATATAATAAAATGAGATTTAATCTGCAGAGTGATTGCAGATCATATATAATTATATAATCAGATATTATATTTTGATTAAAAATGTTGCATATTCTTACTGGCATTCTTAGCCCCGGTGGCCGAATGGGTAATGCGGCCACCAAGTAGCGCCTTGGTGTGGGGACCCAAGGCGCGTGGGTTTAAAACCCACAAGGGGACAACATTGCATCCGGAGCCAACTTCTCAGCTCCTAAAATAAAGGGATGTGAACCTGCCAAGTAAGTACCTTCGGGCGGACATACTACCTGATTTAGCTTATTTGTTTCTAGGCTGGAAACCTGTATCGC